CAATACTTTGACCATTCCTAAACAAAAAAATGAAATCAAAGAGATACCCACATAGTAATTTACACAGAAGCCGGAGTTCGGTAAAAACCACCAAAAATAAATGGACAAAAATGAAATAACAAATATAAAAGACAGTAATAATTGGGATTAGCGCACGCTTTTAATACAACGTTAATTATGGTTTTAATTGAGGGAACTGGAATAACATATTTCTTCATTTTCACAAGCGCGGCATTTTACCTCCATCGTTGCGGGTACAGTCAGCAGAAACTAACTAAAAAGTGGGTTTAATTTGGTTAAGGTTAAAGCCAAATTTTAATTTGGATTTGACTTTAACCATAGTTACTAATAAAAAGAGATAATAATCTTGATCCAGAAAAACTTGCCAGATTTGTACTGTGTATTGTTACAAACATTCCCAAAGCAGATTTCATAGTTTCAGCCACAGCATTCCATGAAATATTTGGTAATATTCTCAATACTTATACCACGTTCCATTTTATTTTAGTCAATTTAATTCGTTTTTCGTAAATACTGCGGTGAATTAAGTCGCCGCCAAAATAATTGTAAACTATTTTATAATCGTAAACTATTATTAAAACACTCCGATGGTTCGGCTAATCATTCGATATCGATACCTTCTTGTTTATGAAAGTAGCTGACAGATTTTAATCGGGTTTAAACGTTTTTCGATTGATCGATGTGGCAGTTTGTGTGGGAGGTGTATACTAAATATAGTGTATAAATGCTCAATGACGGCCTTTGATGATGATTTATTTTTAATTATTTGTAAATTATAGGCGATAAGTTGTGCTTAAATGTGATGTTTAATTTTGTTTTTCCAAAAAACAATATCGTGCAGCTTGAATTACATTTTAACAATCTGCCTTATAGCTCTAGAAAAGAAATTAGGAAATTAAAGTAAATAGAAACAATGTAAAAGTCTGGGTACGTGAGGTATAGTATTATTAATTTGTTTGTTAACGTTACAGCAATTTTCGTCGGAAGGGCTCGTACGCTTCCGGCTCTAAAGGGTGGATGGGAGGCAGCCACATCCGGAGGAAGTCCGACGTCCCCCGTTCTATGTAAACGTAGCCGACTATTGTCTCATTTCATTTTATGCACGGAAAATATTTTAGGCAGTTAATCTGTTCTAAGTAATTTCCTTAATAAACTTTAAAATACATTTCTTTTTTTTTGTTCATTTGTTGATTCGATAATTATTTTACAATAATTTAGATGAACTCATGTTGTAAATCTTATAAGATTAGGTTTTAGTGATATTTGTATATCGGAAATTTAATAATAATTATCACAAGAATATCTGTGCGGAGAGGCTTAGTATTTAAACTATTAGAACTGTATTATTATTTTTAATATTTAAATTTTATAAACAACTTGCTGACCCGGCAATTGTTGATGTTTTGCCATATATATTATTTGTAGGGTAGAAAAAAATGATTGGGGGTGGACCACCCTCAACATTTAGGGAGGAAAAATATATGTTGTCCGATTCTCCCCCCTGGCCGATATGCACACAAAATTTCACGGAAATCGGTCGAGCCGTTTCGGAGGAGTTCAATTACAAACACCGTGACACAAGAATTTTATATATTAGATTAACAGTTTTATTAGGCATAAGATCATTATTGCTCATAATGGTTTACATTGTTTGGTAATCACATTCCACCCCAAGCGGCTTGAACTATTCTAAGATTGAGTTTATCGTGCCCTTTCGAGTTAGCACAGGAAATCAATATCTTGCAACCTTGGACATAGAATGCTCCGTTATAATGCAAAGCCGCTGTCCACTCCGTCTCTGTACAGGAGCACAATAACTTCAAATACTTCAAATGGCAGAATTTTATTCAAATTGTCCAACTCAATGTAGACTTGATGTGGTCAGTGAACCTTGTGTAAAAACATGATCTGAAATATTGTTGTCTCCCATGGACATTCAACGCCCATGGGGTCACAGTTGCGATGCCAACCCACATACATTGGAGAGTGGGACACACTCGCTCAACCACCAGACAAAATAACAAACTAGAATTAACGAACACATGCTTTACGTCAATTTTCTGCGTGGCTGTGGTACTTCCCATTCGTGCATTTACATCTCTAATCAATGTATCGTTTGAAATATAACATTGCTAAAAACATTAAAGGTTTGGTCGATGTTTAATAATTTTGAACAAAAAAAAAAACCGACTTCAAACAGGAAACTAAAAACATTGTCAACATCTATAACATTTGAGGATTGCCCTCGATTTCTCTGGGATGCCATCATCAGATCTGGGTTTCCCTATCATGATACTACCCACAATATCTCCTTTCCAACAAAAAAAGAATCATCAAAATAGGTTTATAAATGACGAAATTATCCCCGAATACACATAAAAAAAATAAAGATATATATATATCTTTATTTTTTATTTTTTTATTAAGAAACCTTCTCCTTTTTTGAAGACGGTTAATTAAAAAAACATTTCAATAGTTCTGTGTGTAGTTCATTAATTATGCGGCAGACAATACTTCGAATATTAAGTTCAAGGGTAGATAGCAGCGATGATAGGGCGTTTGATTACACCTGATATCATGTTTAAGCACGTTTAAAAGACACTATATTTACTAGTGTTTTCTCATTGTTATCGAACTGTTCATGAATGAACAGGATTTCAGACATTTTAAACATTGGCGGTACTATTGTAATATATAAGTGGAAACTGTTGTTGCTGTTGTCATGTTAACAAATTGACTGAACTTTTTTAAATCCCAGTACTTTATGGTGCATTGCATTCTGCTACCGCGAATCGTCTGCTCACATCCGAGGTTCCGTGCCTCTCTATATGACCCCTAAAAAGGGAACATTGTTTTTTTGGTGGAGTTTGTTACGAGCTTCAAGCGAATAATTTGAAGAAATCTAAAATGTCAAAAGGATAAGAAGACCCATTTAATTTACTCGTAAGAACATGTGTCAGAAAACTGATTAAGTATTGTCATCTACTTTGTTTTCTATGAATATGTAAAGCATAATAATTATTTAAAATATTAATTCATTTATTTGTTTACTGTATTTCTATATTTCCTTTATTTTATATTTCTATGTATGCTTTATTTTATTTCATTAGTTTTTTTGTTATGGAATTAGGAGGCAAACGAGCAAGTGGGTGCCAAACCCGCCGCACATGGAAATTAGAAATAAGTATTGAAAAAGAAGCGTGTGAGTTCAGTTCTGCGAACGAATCGAAACAAAAGGATTCGCTTCATCTTGTAACTTGGTCTGGTCGCACCAAACTCCCGAAGGAACCACAGCGAGCGATAAAAGCGTCATGCATAATGTACGGCCGGCCAAAATCGAAAAATTAAACTCCCGCCATCTGCCGGCCGGCTCCGGATAATTACGAGAAGGGTTGCTCTTGTTTTGACATGTATCCGTCGGTTTGCAGGGTTATGATCTCGACTAATTATGCACATACATATCACGTATCATAACGCTGCGAGCCCCATGGGTTTAGTATGGCAGTGCCGGGCAGGTGGCATTTTTAAAACGCTTCCCGTCCGACTATGTCTATGGATACTTTGTCTGTTTATGTGCGTATGTACGATTAAGGTCATGTGATATCATCATTTATGACTCCCTCCAGGTGGTATGATTGTCAGTCTTCCGCATGTCTTCTTTTGCATAAGAAAATGAAACATTACAAAGTTGCCGTTTGTATACTTCCTGATTTTATGTTATGAAAGGAAAATGTTTTCAACTGCATACACTGGAAAGCAAACTGAAAACTCTGTAGAGTATTCAAAAGTAGCGAAGTAAATTTTGAATTGATAAGATGAATAACATCCGATTAATCATTTAAATAAACTTATATACTGGTATAGATTGTTAGAGAGTTGTGGCCATGTAACTGGTTACATGGCCACAACTCTCGCCTCTGTCATGTTATAGAACAGTTATTGTGAAATTATTATGAAACTGTTAACTGTTTTCTTATAGGTGTGTTTATTATATGGAGTTTTCATTCAAATTTTATGATTTTGCCTGTTGAATAATCAATAATTAATATTACTTATGAGTTTCGCACGACAATATTATTTCTCAAATTTCACAGTAAAGGTACACGGGAGAGTTGAGAAGCACAATGTTGAAACTTTATTTCTTAAATAATTTAATAATTATACTAATTTATTTTGATCATATGGTATATATGGCGTAGATTGCTGCAAATATAATTCGACTAAAATGTCGCTATCGGATTTGTCCTTCGTGGGGAGGAATGCGAAAAGTCTTATTGAATTTATAGCTATAGCAATAAACAACAACTCTTTGCTGGGCCCTCGAAATCGTATAGGATAGATTTCAGATGAACTAAGCAGGACCTGACTTAATATCTCACACTATTGCTTAGACGTCCAATTGCCATCATGACTTACTTACCAACTACATTTCCCACTATCGAAGACATAATTTACAATAAAGTCGAACATTATATACATAATTGATATTTCTTAATTGGTTAAAATTAATAAACCGCGAAATATTTATATGTTACTGTTTGTAGTATGTAATAAATGCCCTAAAATTATGAATTTAATTAACTATCCATTTTCTTTATAATTGTTATTAATACTTATTTATACGATCTTCCCTGCGTGAGACCGACAAGTCTCTTAGCATTGACTACCTGTTAAGCACATACTTATTTGCTGTTAAACTTGTTTGTTTCCCTTTGTTATCGATTGAGGGCATAATTAGGGATGGTGCCCATCGCGTCATGGCCCATTCGTCAGCCTTTCGGAGTTAGAAGCGTGAAAAGGTAACGGACACGAGAAGTGAATGGACCAATTAAATAATTCAGTTAATCGTGGAGCCGCCGGCGGCGACGTAAACATGCGTGCGGGGGGCAAGGGGTTGTTGGGGGAGGACTCTCTGGAGGGGCGAGGGCGTGGCCGGTGACGTCACGAGGCGCCCAGCTCAGTCGGTCATCACCCGGCGCATGCAGCGGTCGCGGCGACGCGTCGCCTTTTTAACCCCAAAGTACGATAAAGTCGCCAAAATTTTCGACCGCCAGTACCACTCACCCTCCAAGGTGTTGAAGTTGGAGGACGACCCTTGGGGGTCATGTGCCATGTACTCCCCGGACAAGATGAAGTCCGGCGGTGCCCTGATGGCGCCGCCGGGTTGCTTTCCAGGGCGGTACAGTCCAACGTACCGGACCAGCGACCCACGTCGCTGTGTCCCCAACCCATCCGTGAGTACACTAAAATTATATATTTACATTATTAACAGTAATGGTATTTCAAGTTGTTATGCCAACGTGTACCAAGTTGTCTTGAACATTCCAGGTACTCCTCAGGAACTTTTTCTCATTCACTGCTACGCGATTTATGATTGTTTAGATTATTTTTGTTGCTGGCAATTGCTTGGCGATTGACATGGAGCTCCATGGGGTGGTGTTTGTGTTATTTCGGCGAATTTACTTTTGTTTTGTGCACAGTTTTCAAACCTACAGTTCGACAACTAATATATAGTAATGACTTAATTAAAATAATTCCATTAACCTAATAAAATGACAAACAAAATTAGGAATAATTAATATTTCTTATGGTTTTACTATTATATTTTGAGTCTTAGTGAAATTAAGTTAATTTCTTATTATAATAATTTGTATAAGAAACTAAGAGAACTGAGCCGTTGTTTAATATTTTACTTTTCACCAATGGAGTGAAAATTTCCGCGGCAAATAAACTGTGATAGTAAAATTATTTATAAAATTTTTCTTATTATAATAATAGTATTTTATTTAAATTGTGTTTTATTAATACTGTATTTTATTTTTATTTAATTAGATTAATCGTAATGGAATTATTGTATTTTTTTTACAAGTAACTTTATTTTTATTCAATATTTTTTTAATTAATTCTTTTATAGTATATTATATTACATATTGTACTATTTTATTAAGTTTTTAATCGTAAAGATATAACTGAAACCGCAGATGGCGTCAAATAAAAGCCGCCGGCTACGGCGTAGCGTCGTAGCAGAAATTAGACGGCCGACGCAAAACTTTTATCCATTTACTTTTAATCAAAGTTAACTTTATATACATTTTTATTTCATTGTATTATATTATATTATGCATAAATAAATATATAGCGGTTTTCATAAATCATAATAAATGGACTTAAAGATCTATAAAAAGTAGATTATGTATGAAGATAAAAGCTAAAGATAACGGATAATTATTTTCAATACTTTTTAAAAATAATGATATAATCAACCATTTTTTTTTAAACAACAAGTTATGTATAATTAGAATAGACGATTAAAAATATTAAAAGGATATAAAATTATATTTTATTAATTATAATCTAATGAGAAAAATATAATTAATTTCATAGAGTATTAATATTTATTTACAATTAAGATTATTCTATTGTAATAAAAAATTATGCCGTATCTTACAGTTTCTTTTAGTATTCCTAACAAAATATCAAGGTATCTTGGTAAATTATTTGAAAGTGTAGTCATTTATATTTGTTGAAATTTGATTCAATTATAAGTTTGATATTTTGAAAACTGTGTACATATCTTATGACATAATTACATACTTACTTTTAATTTTCAGGTTTCATCATTGTTGCATTTTTGTTTCAGCGGTGGTTCTCAAATAAGAATTATTAATACACAGTCAAATGATATTTTCGTTAGGTGTCCCTTTTTATTTTGTTACAATAATCATTTTCTGTTTTATTACAATTATTTTTTTCATTGGTTTAGTAGTTCTACCAGTTTTTATGGCCACTAATTAATTACGCAAGGAAGTTTCAGGCTAGGAGAAGCGAATATATAAAAAAAAGAGTTTTGCAAATTGAAAAATTGATTGCAGGTTTTCAATGCGTACATCGACCACATTTTCATTTCGTTATATTTTAAAGTACCCACAGTTACAAAGTTTGAATATACACTAACGGCGTTCCGGTACGATATCTGAACAGTATTTGCGTTATGCAGGTCGATGTGAAACTGAAGATTTTCACTCAAAAGTTGTAAAAATACTACTAGTAGATACAGAAGGGCGTAGCAGGCAATTTTGTTGTTTGATATTAATAAGCATCATGTCATTGTTACAGCGGTTCCACATTTCGAACGATTTTAAACGCGTTACGGCGTTTTAAAATTGTTATGGGTTGTTGAAACGAATTACGCTCGACTTTATGCATCTTTTACGTTAATGGTTACTTCTTTGAAATGTAAACCCTTTACTTTGATGACAATAAAGTGGATATGTAAAACACACTTTAGAGACATCGTTAAAATATACACATTCCCCTTTAAATATTGTACATCTGTTAAAAATAAATATTGATATGTACCTAAATAATTATAAAAAATAATTACGTAATATGAAGTGTATACGTAATGTTTTGGCGATATTTGAATAGCCTTTAACGGATTTTCATTGTTTTAGATTTTTATAAAAGCTTAGTAATGGAATCTCCACAAAGCAATTAAAATAAATATGATATTCACAACACTGTTTAGAGTAACTCACGATTCAGACAAGTTGAACTTATTGGTTAGTGCCTACCCGTTTTGAAATACGAAGCAAATTGAATCTATGTTAGCACTAAGGTGAGAGGATTCTATGGAATTACAGTTCTTTTTCCTGTGATAAGATTTCTTTTCTCTGCGGACGTAAAAATTGCCTTGGAAACAATAAAAATGTTAACAAATCGTCAGATTGGACCGGAAGAAGGACTAATAAATGGACGGGATGTTAGTCGTATGTTTGTAAAATTCCGTTCGCGAAAAAAAGAGATTATGACACGTTGTTAAATATTTTTCGAATTCGATTCACCTTTTAAGTCTTTTAATTGAGTTGTATTAAAAGGAAAATGTGATGCAGGTGAGGCAGGGAAGGCGCCACAGATGTCCGATATTGTAAGAGAATTGCTTTAGCTGTCATATGGCACAATTATGGGAATCAGTTTTTAGATTTTTTAACTTTGTATGTAATTTAATTTTGTGTCTAAGTTTTTGGAGACTCTTTTGTAAAAGCCTGGCATAATTGTAAAACAACTGGAAAATGTACGTAGATAATTTGTCCGTAGTCAATATCAAAGTATGGCTAGTGTTTGTCTTTTAAAAAACCACGGCCGCCACACTTAAATAATTATTTCGTAAATATACATTTTAGGGCGTCCACTATGTCCGATAAAATCAAACATGTGATCGGATCCCTCTATATATATTCTATAGTGATTGAAAGTACACATTAGCGTCCGCTGAAACAAAACTTGTGTTTACCAACAATTTATCCCAATTTGTTGTGGTTGCGGTGTTCACATCAATCGACACGTTTGTAAAGAATTTGACCATAGTTGAACATATTTTATAAATGAAACGTAATTAAATTAAATTTTGATCGGTCTATAAAACGTCATAAACAATTAAGGATCGGACTTTATGAGCAAGTTAGCTTATATTATGAAGAACGTCATAAAGCTTACCAAACAGCGTGTTAATTTACTAAGAACGTATTTTTGACTGAAGCTAATAAATTGTTTAAGAAGAAATTTACATTTAAAAGTACGAATAGGCACGCTGTGTGTTAGCTTAAAGCTTAAATGCTTTAAAATTACGCTGTTGCACGAATGGGCAGGACTTTGTGAGTAAGTACCACGGAAGACCTGTGTGAAGTGGAACTGATATTTTCTGAAAAGGTGTAACCCTAGGGTGTTGCAAATGTCCATGGGCGACGATAATCGTTTGTCAAGTAAACCGCCAGCGTACTTGTCATCTTATTACATAAAAAAAAACTTCACACACATTAAATTTAGGTTTAAATTCTAAATGACGACACGCATCCCGTGTCAGCGACGATTGACCCGTAATATGAATTAGCGATGTTAAAATACCGGAGAGTTTTTGGTTTCTTTAAAAGCAAAAAGCATTGCATTGCTTTAGCAAACTCACGTCTCGTTAAGTTTGAGACTTTACAAGTTAGTCTTTGCACTAGACCATCTCTGGCGGTAAATAGGCAATAGAAAAAATAAATGCTCCTAGGATCGACGTTGGAGCTCGTTTCAATATTATACTTTTTGCAGTATTTCAGCTCCTCTCTGCCTGTATACAAGTTATAATAATGAATACATGTATTGAATTTCCAATACATTATGATATTTTTAAAACTAATAACTAAGCTGTAGTAATTAGTTACCTAGTATGAGAGTTTTATTGCTATACTCTAGAATTAAAAAAAAAGATCGACCAGAACTTTACGTGTTACGGTTTTTATCATTGTTAGTATTTCAGAAGAGTTTTTAAGAATATTCACTTCAGTTGTTGTTAATGACACTCTTTGAAGTCATTCAATCATTATAAAACAAGTGAATCCAATAAAAACTCGATAATTTTTTACAGTATCACTTTCAATGTTTTTCAGGGTTCATAACAACAAATATGTAGTAAAAATCAGAATAGAAAAATATTTCAGTGGAGCTGCCATACAATAGACAAAAATTTTTACCGTTTTTATAGGTAATGGTAAGGAACCCTTCGTGCGTGAGTTCGACTCGCACTTTGCCGGTTTTTTATTTACAACTTTGTTGAATTGATAGGGAAACAATAAATAAAAATAAATATATAAAAAATAATAAAATGAAATAACTGATGAGCGAAAATAATACGATTTAATTGTTTTTTCTCAAAATGGCCGTTATCAGTCGTAAGATTGTGATAATGTTAAAAATTACTAGAATCTCAGTTTTGCAAATCTGGATATAAACTTTTTAGTGATAAAAGACAATAATACTAATTATTTAAAAAATAAACTTACTAAAGTAAAACTTACCTATAAAGATTTTTTGTCCGACGTTACATCGAAGATCGGCGTTTGGCGTTTCCCATTGCATTTCTCCTTTTTTCATTTCACGTGTGCTTGTATGTTTCACTTTCACTTGACCTGCTTGATTCAAATATTGACAAGTGAGTGGCCAGTGTTGCTACTCCCTCATTTCGTATTATGACGTAATAAGTGTAAGTAATGATACACGGCCATCGTGCAATGTTACGGTCATATAAAGTTTCAAATCTATTTCATTTTCTATCGCTTTATAAGTTTGTTCATATTTCTAAGGGCATGATCACTTGAGTTCTTTTAAACACGTTAATAATGTCGAAAATATTGGTAGCGGCCGGGATATAATTTTAAAGCGAGTTTTTAATGAACGAGATATGCCTATGTATGAATGTGTCAGAAACTTTGGAGCCGGAGTTGTTAATATTGGCAAATTTAGACTCGGATGGTTGGTGAAGAATGATTTTAATTATTATTGAACAAATAATTTTATGCCTTTCTGCAACTTAACACATAGTCGACCACTCATTGGTA